AAAAATCACTTTTCTCATGAATGTTACGATTAGACCTCCTGGCTCCAGTGTGTTGCAACAGACTGGATTGGAAGACCTGGATTTTAGTCCTAGCCTTGTCACTGACTATTTGTGTGACTTTTGACAAGTCACTTTTTTTCCTCACCTGATCTCAGTATCATTACTTGTAAAATCATTTTGTTGGAGTAAGGTAGATTAAACTCTATGTTTTAAGACTGCATCCATCTTGGCATTTTATGTTCTAAGGTCTTCCATGCTCTGATAATCTATGTCTACTTTAAGGCCCTTTTCAACAGTAGAATTTTGTTTCATTGGGTGAATTGTTTTTTCTTGAATCCACATCCCCTCCTCAAACCAATGACTTCCATATTCAAATCTCAGGTTGGCCACACTGGGTGAGGCATTCAGGTAGCCCTGCCTTAAGTCGTGGAATGAGTCTGAGGCTTATTCTGCTCTTCACTATAGAGGACAGTACAGAATTCAACTACAGAAGAACCTCTCTCTGGGTTCCTTAAAGACAGATGAATCTGGAGGAGATTTTTGGTAGTTTCCTGTCTTTGCCCCTCATCAAACAAAAACCATTTATTAAGCACTTTGTGCCAGGGACAGTCATCTGTGTCACCTTGGACATGTCACTTCTGGGCATCAATTCATTCAGTTATATAGAGTGGCAGGCTAGATGATTTTAAGATACTTTCAAAATCTAAATACATGACCCAATTATCTTATAATCCTATCTAGAAAATTTATCCAGCATGAGGCCAACATCGGAGTCCCTGACTCTATGGAAACTTGAATTTGAGATCTAGAAAGAAGATATATTGTCTGTACCCTTAGTTCTACCTTTGGCATCAGCTCCCCAAAGATAATATTCTCTCCCACACTTTCTGATCTTTTCCATTTCCTTATTTTTTTTCTTACTCATTGATTCCCACTGGACTGCTTTTTGTTCCTTGAACTCAAGCCATAAGCACCACCAAAGTTCTTGCCTATTGTTCAAAGCTATAAACATATGAATTCTTTGTGCCCTCCAATACTTAACAGGTTCAGGATTTTGTCAGTGAGGGTATGTCTTCTATGGACATAGATGATATAACCCTTCTAGGAGTGGTAGATACTTGTGAAGAACTTCTGTGGCCAAAAAGATCCCTACCCAGTGGCCAACCCAGTGATGATCTGCTTTGAATTTAACTAACTGGTCATTGTATAACAGACAATGGCTCTCTACAGATAACATCTTATAATAAAGACATTCATATATTAATTATGAACCAGTATTGCATTGTAAAGAAACTATCTCAGGTTTGAAGTAATTTGGGTAAAACATTTAGCCATTATTTTGATGCCCACATCTTCCCACATTATATTTATCCACTCTGTTGTCTTTTTCTACCCTTTGTCAACTTGTTCTTTTCTTTCCTACCTTGTCTTCTTAGTATTTTTTCTTTCCTCTCTCTCTCTCCCTCACTCCCTCCCTCCCTCTTTTTTTCTCTCTCTCTGTATCAGACAGGAATAAGGTTAGGTAGCTGGTCTTTGAGATTTTTTCAAGATCTAAAAATCTATGAATTTATGAAAGAGCTGCCTTAGCAGGTAGGGAGTTCTTTATTGCTGTAGATGCTCAAAGGAAGGATGATTAAAGACTTATCAGGCATGTTATTATAGAATATTATTGCATCAGGTGGGCATTTGGCTAAATGACATAGATCTGAGAGGCTACCATTCTTTGACTTATATCTATCTCTCCTCTCACCCTTTCTGCCTTCCATAACCTTTACTATTTATCTATACATGCAAGCCTTCCTTCAGAATATCTTGCAAGAGAGTGGCAGGTATCGATATACCAAAATCAACAAACCGTTATTGAGTCTTACTGTGTACAAAGTCCTATAAGTATTGGTATCAAGCTGTTTGGTACTATAGGGCATGTTTAGGATGTGAACCAGATATTCTGGTGGATTTTATTTGAATACTGGTACTTTCAGCTCTCAAAAAAGGTAAGGATGTATGACTTAAGGAGCTGACTGAATGTAAAATAAAGACTCTCCTCCCCTCATTTCTTTGTGGAGATGTAGGGCTAAGACTATGGAATACTACATACCATGTCAGATGTTTTCAAAATATTAGTTAGTTTGTTTAACTATTTTCCCTATTCTTTATTACAAGGGCTCTCTAGAAGGGGAAGGAATATGAGAGAGAAATATAGATGACATAAACAACAATAGATATTATGAAAAATGCACTTAAAATTAATAAATGGCAGGCATGATAAAATTTTGAGAATGATTGGACAAGTGATTTGATAGATCCAACTTGGTAGACTTGAGAGATATTACTACAAAAGCAATTTATGTGAATTTTTGTGAAAAAGATAAAGGGCTTTTAATAGCCATAAAGCACAGAGTCCTGTACTCTTTAGGCCTAGATAGAACAACCTTTCCCACATTTCTAAATAAAATCATCCACAGGGGAGTCTTCTCTATTTCCAGAAAAGGGACACAAGAATGGTCTAGTCTTGCCACTACATCCTTGGATGAATAATAGTAATGGGTTCATAGGATCATAAATCCAAAGCTGGAAGGGACGTTGAACTCGATCCAGTCTAACTCCCTTCTTTTACAGATGAGAAAGCTCAGGTCCAGGGAGGTAAGGTGGTAACATAAATATTAAAAATCAGAGTTGATGATGCTTGAACCCAAGTCCTCTGACCCTAAAGTCAGTGTTCTTTTCAATGTAACACATCTCCCTTTTTCCACTGTGTCATTCTTTGACCTAACCATGAATTTTCTCTTTGGAGGTTTTGTCTTCCCCTACTAGTATATGATTAGTGAAAAGGCAGCTCTTTCATAAATTCATAGATTTTTAGATCTTGAAATAGTTTCAAAGACCAGCTACCTAACCTTATCCCTGCCTGATACAGAGAGAGAAAAAAAAAGAGGGGGGGAGGAAGGGAGAGAGAGAGAGAGGGAAGGAGAGAGAGGAAAGTTCAAACTGCTAATGACTCTGTCCCTACAGTGGATTGTGTCCACTGACTTCTCCATTACAGTGAGCATGAATAAAAGACCAAGTGGATCTGTACTGATTTGAAAATAATTATACAAATAGTAAGATTTAGATCTGTTTAGGGTTACTACTTCTCAAGAAAGAATGCTTGGCCTTACATTCTTAACCTGTATAGCCCCTACCATACATTCTGTGGTCATTTTGTATAGTGACATCCACAGATCTTTTTAATCTTCAAAACATTATGAATCAAGGGATTTTGTGTTGGAATGAACATGTTACTATTGAGTTCAGAGCTTGGAAGGACCTCAGAATATAGAGCGGTAGAGATAGGAGGACCCTTAGAATACAGAATGTCAGAGCTTGGTGGAACTTCAAAGCATAGAATGTCAGAGCTGAAAAGGACCTTAGGACACAGGATTTCAGAGGTGAGAGGGACCTTAAAGCAGAATATCAGAACTGAGAGTGACCTTGTATAAGAGACTATCAGCATTATAAAAAACTTTAGAACCAAACATGTCAAGGTTAGAAGGGGCCAAGATCATAAAACATCTAATACTCTCAGAGTCTATTCCTTAAAATAGATCAATATTGTGTAATGCCAGATTATTATGCAAAAATATTTTAGAACTTTGCAATTCCATCTGCAAAGAATGAGTATACCTATTCCTGCTCAAACTTATCAGTGTTGAATTTTGGTTATTTTCTACCTATTTCATGAGTTTGAGGTACTACCTCAAGGTTGTGTTAATTTGTATCTTTCTGACTATCAGTGGAATTATATATTTTCAAATAATTATTAGGAATTTGAAGAATTTGTTTTGTCTGACTATACATATTCGTAATAGGGATTTTGCTTTTTTTGCTTTCTCAATTGGGGAGGGTAGATGAGAGGGAGAGAATGCAGAGCTCAATATAAAATAACATTTAATTTTAAACAATTTGTATTCATTTTTTGAAAATTGTTCATATATTTTATTGAGAGATGATTGCCATTGTGATTTAAAAAAAATACTAATTACTGATATATTTTGGATGTCAAGTTATTATCTTCCACAACTACCATTGATACATTTCCCAATTCATTGTTCTTTTTTCTTTTTAATTACATTTTTTTAAAGATTTTTTTCTTTCATATGGGAAAGAACATCTATGTGGTTCCCATTAATTCTTTATTGAATTATTGATGATCTGCCTTTCATAATTGGGGTAAATGCTCTGCTCCACTTTCTTCCAGTTTTGTAGTTTATATAGTTTAATGTTCAACTCAATATATTTTTACCTTAAAGGAATATTATTCCTGAGGAAAGTTTTTATAATTTCATTTATAAATGACTTAAGTTCTAAGCATGGTTTATGGAGTTTCCAAGAATGTGAGAACTGAAAAGACCTTTAGAGATCCCCTAGTCCAACTCCATTTTACATATGAGGAAACTGAGGACAGCGAAAGGGAAGTGACTTGTCTAAAATAACAAAGGTGGTAGACCTTAGATTTAAATTTGAGTCTTCTGAGTCCAAATCTAGTGTTGTCTCTATTACAAAATGAGAGGTGACTATTCCCATTTTGCTAACTGTTGGGAGAATTTTCCCATGGGAGTTCTAGCTTCTCTTGGCAGAAGCTGAGGGTCACAACCTGTTGCGTGGCAAAAACAAGGAAGTCTCACAAGACCTCTCCTTTGCTGACATGCAGCTCCCACGGTTGACTTGGCTCTCCTCTCATTGGGAGAAAAGTCCTACTCATACCCCTGACACGAGGGCTGCAGGTGTCCAGCAGACTTGGTGATTGGCTATCACGTGGAGATTATGCTTTGATCAGGTGTTACTAGGGATATAAAAGAAAGCTACTAGCACTTAATGAATGGAGCTTCTGCCATCTTGCTGTCTCCCGCCTCATCAATGCACCTCTGGGTTAAGAGTATTGAGCTGGTCTCATGCTCACCACTGAAGTGGCTGCGTCAGCTAACTTTCCATATCTTTGTCCTTGCAGATATATCAGGTGTATGGGACCAGAAAACCAAACACACGTGTCAGAATTCCTCCTCCTGGGACTTTCTGAGAAGTCAGAGCAGCACCTTCCCCTCTTTGGGCTCTTCCTGGGCATGTACATGGTCACTGTGGTTGGGAACATTCTCATCATGCTGGCTATTGGCTCTGACTCCCACCTCCACACTCCCATGTACTTCTTTCTCTCCAATTTGTCCTTGGTGGATGTCTGTCTAGTTACTACCTTGGTCCCCAAGATGCTGATGAACCTTCTAACACACAATAAGGTCATTTCGTATACTGGTTGCTTTGCTCAGATGTACTTTTTCATTGTTTTTGCTTGTTCAGACAATTTGCTCCTCACTGTGATGGCCTATGACCGCTTTGTGGCCATTTGTCACCCTCTGCACTATGTCACCATGATGAGTCCACGGATTTGTGGCTTCCTGGTTCTAATGGCATGGACTATTAGTCTTCTAAACTCTGTTCTCCAAATTCTAATGGTGATGAGGTTGTCCTTCTGTACAGAACATGAGATTTCCCACTTTTTCTGTGATCTTGGTGAGGTTATGAAACTCTCTTGTTCTGATACCCTCATCAATGACATCTTAGTATATTTTGCAACTGGTCTGCTAGGTGTTCTCCCCTTCACAGGGATCCTTTTCTCTTATACTCAGATCTGTTCCTCAATATTGAGAGTACCATCAGCTAGAGGGAAATATAAAGCCTTTTCTACCTGTGGGTCTCACCTCTCTGTTGTTTTATTATTCTATGGCACAGGACTTGGAGTATATCTGAGTTCTTCAGTTACCCACTCCTCCTGGAAGATCTCAGTTGCCTCAGTGATGTATTCCGTAGTCACCCCCATGATGAACCCCTTCATCTATAGTCTGAGGAATAAGGACATGAAGGAAGCCCTAAGGAGGTTCACTAGTAGAACAGCTTCTTCTCAATGATTGAGCTTGGCCCTGACAATGTGGCATCGGTATCTGACGTCAAAAGTCTGGTGGTTAGAAACCTTGGATTCAAAGGGTGAAGCCCAGGACTAGCCAGGGTCCTACTTAACTGGCTATATGATCTCTTTACTATCACTCATAGAGTTCTTCATGGTGTCAATTTCTGGACTTTCTTACTGCATTCTAATTTTTCACAACCTACTTTGTCATAACATCCATTCTTTCTAAAGAAGTACTAGATTTAGTGTTAGGAGACCTTGGTTTGTGTTTTTAAGTAAGTCATTTATTTTCTCTGAGCCTCAGTCTTTTCATTTGCGGAATGGCCATTATAGAAGCTGTCTTGCCACAAGACAAATTCTGGTCTATGGATCAAATGAAACGATGTGTGAAAAAGCACACGAAAGTTGTAAAAATCCTATCAAATTTCAGGAAGAAAAAAAGAAATAAAACAGAGAGTCAGGATTTTGTTGCTATGTACAATCCTTCCATCCACTCAAATGTCCATTTTCCTATGCCTTAGTATGTGATCTTCATGTGTTACTCTGGCAAAAAATAAATCATTAACTTATTGCCAATCTTTTTCTTTTTAACTAAATGGTCCCTGGACAATAGTCTATCCTTAAGCATATTCTCAAAGCCTCAGCAGTGTGGCTCAAATCCTACCAGAGTTTATGTTTTTCTAGCAAAACCTTCAAGAGTCTAGTGTAATTGTCTATCATGATTGGACATTAGAACTATTTTTGTGAGCACATAAGGCATAAGGATTTGCTAGGAGGCAGCATTGCCTGGTGGACTGAGTACTGGACTTATCATCAGAAAGACACAGGTTCAAACTCTATTTCAGACCCTTATAAGCTGTGGAACCCAGAGCAAGTCACAGCCTAAGTTTCTTCATCTATAAAATAATAATAATAACAATAGCTAGCATTTATGTGGTACCTTAAGGGTTGCAAGGTACTTGAAATACACTGTTTCATATATTACTATAGAAATAATAACAACATCTACCTAATAGGGGTTTTATAAGGGTCAAATGAAATATCAGTAAAATGCTTTGCAAACCTTAAAGCATTATGTGAATATCATATATTATTATTAACATTAGTGATAATGATATCATTATCCTTAGATCTTTCTCTTTCACCTTAGAATCATGAAGTCATAGAATCTTAGTTCTGTAATATAGCCCTTTGTTGCCCCTTCTTATAATGTAATATATGTAACATACGTTAAAGATCCTCTATGTCAGCCTCCTACAGATAAAAGAGTCCTCTTTACAATATGTAAACTTTTAACTGTGTAGTCGTGGCAAGCACATAAGACTTTGAATAAGATTGTGATTTAAATCTGAACTCCACTATTCACTAGTTTAGTAACTGTGGTCAAGTTGCTTAACCCCTTTGCTTCATTTTCCTCATCTACAAAACCAGAAGGTTGGACTAGATGATCCATAAGCTTTCTTTTAGCTCTAAAGCCTACTTGTCCTTTTACAGTGATAAGGAACTCACTGCCTCATAAGGTAATATTGTTGGACATCTCAGACTGATATGTTCTCTGTGGAAGTAGACTACAAGAACTGTTAGCATTATTACAAAGGACTGAGTATCTTCCTTCCAGGATGCATGGAGAACACAGAGAATTATGCAGATACCTGAGTGTTAGATAGTGTTTGTCTTTCTGCCAAAAACAACTAATTTCCACCTATATTCAAAGTGTAGGTTGGTATGATTCATAGAAGAAAAGGAAAGGGGCCTCAAAGAATGTGTCTCTTCTCTCTTGTGTATTAGGGATAACAAAGTGTTCCCCTAAAAATGAAGGGGAAACAAAGGGCTATATAACTGTGCATATCCTTTAACCCAGCAACAGTATCACCAGGTCTGTAACCCAAAGAGATCAAAGTAAAAGTAAAAAGGACCATTTTTACAAGAATATATTTACAGTAGCTCTTTCTGTGGTGGCAAAGAATTGGAAATTGAGGGGATGCCCATCAGCTGGAGAATGGCCAAACAAGTTGTGGGCTTTTTTTTCAATCCTTTTCAATTTTTATTTTAGTCACTTATTAGCTTGATACATTGGCCCACATCATAAAGTGGGAATAATCCATTTGTAACATCAACCTTATACACTAATATGACAGAAAACTACTGTACTATGAGAAATGATCAGCAGGATGGTCTCAGAAAAACATGGGGAGACATATAAATTCATGCAAAGTAAAATGAACAGAATCAGGAGAACATTGTACATAGTAACAACAATATTGTAAGGATAATCAACTGTGAAAGACAACTACTCAGATCAAAACAGTTGTTCAAAACAACCCCAAAGGACCATGGCTAATGCAGAATTATGTTTTGCATGACTTAACATGTATAATCAATATCATATTGCTTGCCTTCTCAAGGAGGGGAAGGTGGGCAGGAGTGAGAGAGAGAATTTGAAACTCAAATTTTTTAAAATGGATGTTAAAATTTTTTTTACATGTAACTGGGAATTATTTAATGAAATTAGAAAAATATATTTCAAGAAATAAAATAAATAAAAAAAAGGGGGCAAGCTTCAGTTCCCAAAAGAGAAACTGAAAGAACCAGGGGGACAAACTGGAAGAGCCAAATTTCAAAACTCCCAGGTTAAAGAGAAAATATTGCAAGCAACAAGAAAAAAGCAATTTATATATTGTGGAAATACAGCCAGGATTTCACAAAACCTAATAGCTTCTACAGTAAAAGACCCTAGGTCTTGGAATTTTATATTTCAAAGAGCAAAAGAGCTGGAGTTGCATCCAAGAATAAGCCAACAAAGTTGAGTATTATCTTGAATTTTTAAAAAAATGGACATTTGACAAATTGAAAATTTTCAGGTATTTGTAACAAAAAAGACCAGAACTCAATGGAAAATTCAATATAAAAATCCAGAAGAAATATAAGGAAAACATTAAAGAATAATTAATTATAAGGCACTCATTAAGGTCAAACTATTTACTAATTAAATATATGAAAATGTTATCAGTATTCTTAAAACTGACATCATTACTAAGGTAGTTTGAAAGAAAGGTTGAGGTTGAGGTGTGTATGATGGGGTGAAAAACAAAATTGGGTAGGAAAAGGTAAAAGAGTGATTATATTATAAAAATGAGGCATGAAAGGAAGAACTAATACAGAGGAAGCAGATGGGGTGGAGGGCTGGTAATATTGGAACCTTTCTCTCATCTGAGTTGAAGACAAAACAATACATACATCTAGAAAGGTGTAGAAGTCTTCTGAACATGTAGAGAGGTAAGAAAACTGGGGAACAGGGTGGGGAAGGGACTTTTAGAGGGGTGTGGGGATTGGGATCTGGGTGGGTGGGGGAAGGGATGAGGGACTCAGAGGGGTGGGTGAAGTGGGGGGTTGCAGGGGGGGAGAAGATAAGCTAACAGATATAGGATAAAAATAAAAGCTGAGAAAGAAAATAGTAAAAATGAGATGGAGGCAAATTCACAAATAGAAATTATAACTTGGAATGTGAATAGGACATTTATAGTATCTCTTTTTGTGGTGACCAAGAACCAGACATTGCAAGGATCCCTATCAATTGGAAAATGGCTGAACAATTTGTGGTGTATGATTATGATGGAATACTACTGTGCTACAAGAAATGATGAGCTCAATAATCTTAGAAAAATATGGAACGACTTGCACAAAATAATGAAGAGCAAAATGAGCAGAATCAAGAGAACATTGTATACAGTAACAGCAATATTACTTTAAGAATGAGTTTGAGCAACTAAGTCATTTTGACTATTATAACTACACAAATTAAGAATAAAGGACCTATGAAGAGAGACACTATCTGCATCCAGAGAAAGAATTGATAAACAGAACTATGTATACATTAATTTTACACACCTATTTGTCTCTAATGCAGCCATCTCTAAGGCAGGGGGAGGGAGGGAAAAAAAGGGGAAAAAAAGAAATTTGCACAATAACTTTGTTGTATATTTGGAGGGAATAGCAAGTTGTACATGGTAGATTTGCAGTTTCGTGTGCAATCATCTTTTTTATTGTACTGTGTTATGGAAATGCTTGTTTTGTTCCATAAATTGAAAATAAAATAATTTTTTTTTGTAAAAATAGCCAGGGAAAATCCTGATTCATGTCACTATGTTGGATGGTAGGGGAAAGTATGAAAAGGAAAGAAATAATAGAAGGAAAAGCTAGATTCTGTGAAGAATAAGAAACTGTTTCTCCCACAAGATATGTATTTACAGGCATTGTTAGGTGAGGAGTTGTTCAGAGACAGTCAGGAGAAGAAGGGATAAATAAGCATGCTTAGTAATTACCTGTTAAGGGTACCAAGGTTTCTCAATGTCATAATAACAATGAAGACATCTTCTATATCCCTAAGGAATAGATCCAAAACATGAGAGAGAACTTCGCAAGATTTGTCAAAACCATCAATTTCTTTGCAGTACTGGAGACTCACTTTAACACAAATCTAATTGCTTGAAGGAATTAGTAAATAGTTGCTAAAAATTAGAGTATTGGATAAGAAACCAACGATATTAGGAGCACAA